AATGCCATCGCTTAATTGAAATTATAAATCCGTTTACTTTGATTAATGACACTAATCTATTTAAAATTATCAATTTAATAAAATGAGTTTACCTGCTCCAAGTATGTAGAACAATTTAATTATATAAATTATATTTGTGTCATACTAGCTTAGGTAAAAGTGTTTGCCTACTTAATTCAAATTTAAAAGGATCTTTAGATAACATCTGGAATTTAAAAAACTAAGTGAATTTCACTGAATGCTGTATAACTTGATATCGATAGTTAATGTTTTCAAGTCAAAATAAGGACTTCCGAATTTTGTGACCCTAACAAAATTCGATACTTTTTATTTTCATTGATTGTGAACTTGTTATATATAGGATCTAGTTTTACCAACTATTTGCCTGTTTATCTAGAAACAAGATCAAATATATCACCATTAACTAGAGACAATTCTTTGTTTTCAATTGAGAAAGTAGAGAAATTGATACCTGAAACTGAATGAGGTCATGCGAACAAGAATTGTAATTTTATTTCTAATAATAAAACGATATTGCACTCACCCGCATTCAACGCATTTATATATATATATATATATATATACGTATATATATAGGTGAAAAATTAAAGCTTCCGCTTTTTGTTGGGTACTTCGACAAAATTTAAGCAAAGAGGACTCTTTATACTTTTTTTAATTCTCTCTAGCTTTCAATGGACTTTGCCATCATCATCAGGAGCTGCAATTACAATGATAACAGTAGCAACAAAAGTGTAAAATGAATTTAAATTGAATCAACTTACAGTAGTATGTGAGGATGTTGCTAATTGTTGTTTTCGTATAGGATGAGGGAAACGTCCAGTAACATGGTGAGAGCTGGATACATGGTACAATGGTTAAAATTATATAAAATATGACAAGACAAGTTAATGACAGATTAAAAATTATTTAGAAAACATTAGAGCATTACGTCGTGAAGCCACTTGATGATTGCACAAAATGGTGGTCATGGAATAATGAGTGAGATGAACCTTTGACAGAAGGCCGAAGGTTGTCAATGTCTGTGTTGAAAGATGGAACGAATTGTGGGCGTGTGCCAATACGTTGCCAAATCACATCAGATGATGTGATTTTCAGAATGTTATGTAAGAAATTGTTGAACCGACCAGAGGCAGTTGAATAAAATATATTTTAATTAATGGGAATTTTAAATTAACAATTATTAATAAATCGTGAGAAGAGAATTATTAGATTTTGAGTGGAATGAAATTTGTTGGTGGAATCGGCCAAAACACAGATTATATTTATGGTTGTGAAAAGTCGAAATTTGGGGAGATATGTAAGTTCTCCAATTTTTCGCAGTTTAGCAAATATGAGTAAATGACACTCAGTTGTTTAATATCTGTTGATTTATATCTCCCCAAATTTCGACTTTTGCAGCTCCTGATGATGATGGCAAAGTCCATTGAAAGCTAGAGAGAATTAAAAAAAGTATAAAGAGTCCTCTTTGCTTAAATTTTGTCGAAGTACCCAACAAAAAGCGGAAGCTTTAATTTTTCACCTAACTGGTCTAGACGACAATGACCACGTCTCAAAAAAAAAAAATATATATATATATAGATTCGAAGACACTTTAAACAGACTAGGATATTTTCAAATACTTCCAATATATACATTTTGAAATATCAAAGAAAACCACATCAAGCCTATGTTAAGCACATGTTTGGTATAAATGCCCTTCATTCACCTAAATATAGTTTAAAACATATAATTTCATAGTTCTTCCCATTCCGTCACGTCAGCAGCGACTCCCATAGAGAAATATATAGTACTAACCATGGTTATTTCATTTGATCACCATAATTGATCCACTTCACAGCTAATACACCAACATACATACTTTCGATCATTCACGAATGGAGGGCCGAGTCCGCGATTCAAATAAAGGGTTTAACGGTTTTTATTAAGAGGCTAAATGTACCTTTTCTGCATAAACTAAATTATCTAAACTAATTTAACAGTTTAATAAATTAGGTCCATGGCTTGCTATTTTCAAGCAAATCATTCTATTACTTTTAATTCAACTGGTTCCAGAAAATTCGCTTACATTAAGCCGAATACTTTGATTAAATTGTATTTGTACCGATGTGTCTCTTGCTGCTCTGAGCTGATGTCATTCAACTGGCCTTATATTGTGTCAACAACGAAATTTAAACTTTTTCTAGAATCATATGAGAACTGAATAGAAAAAAATGGTAAGAAGTAGGTTGACAAATTGATCGAATAAGGCTCAAGGTCATCTTAGCTACACAGAAATTATAAGTGCTCTTAGCGATGTGTGGAACCGTTGAAGGCGTGCCTGGTTTCAGAATATTCGTACAATGTATATTTCTACTATGGCCCGAAAGTAGAATAACGTCAAATAACGAATTTTGTTGGTCCTCGTGAACTGTTGTACTACGTCAAAAAATAGTCAGCAACACTGAACATATTCAAAATATCAAGTTTGTTGACGTTCTCTATTTTTTCCTCTTTACTCTCCCATAGTACCAGTAGTGTAGCAGTGTAGCAGATCGGAACACCCTGAAGAACACAGAAATTTAATTATCTACTTAAACATTCTGAACGCTAATAATAAACTTGATTAAAACCGGGTGAAGAGGGAAGAGAAATAGAAGGGTTGCTGTTAGTAATAAAAACCTGTAAATTACCAAAGTTCACGACCATATGGGCGTGTGATTTATTTCGATGTTATTTCACGCAAAGGTAAAAATGTAAATGGGGCCACCAAGGGAAATGAACGGTAGTTAAGAAAAAGTGGGTCACGTGATGTCGTGCTTCCAAGAGAAAAGCTATTGTGTGTTTGTTATGCTGGGCAGATATTAATTTCTTCATGGATGATGAAAGACAAAGGATCATTACTAGGTGAGAAATAGTAATGACGAACTAATTGTAGGAAAAAATGCAAGGCGCTCCAATAAAAGCCAAAACACACTGTAAAATCCCTCAGTAGTTTTTCCAAAAGTCAGTTATTTGACAGAAGCAGCTCAAAGGAACTTGGAAAGAATGCAAGATTTATTTGCGCTCTACGCAAGTTTCAAAGAGTTTCGCAGAAGTTACTTGATGCAGATTGATTGAGTATGTGATGTCAACGTGAATTGTGCGCATGTAATTTTTTTTAATTTTTCAAAATTTTGTTTTTTGTGCAACTACCATACTTATTCAATAGAATAGCTTTTCGCATTGATTTTGCGTTTTTGGAGGAACGTATCACTTAATCTCATCAAACCTGTTTTTCATGCAACATTTCTCGGCTTTTCAATCAAATTCCTGAGGGCTTAATAAATGTTCATCCAAACCATATTAACATCAAATATAAAAAAATCATTTTTGAAAAACACTTTAGCGCAGATATAAATTTTAAATGTTTATTTTTTAATAAATTTTATACAGCAGTCGGCCACCTAGGTGGTGGTGATCATTTTATGACTTACATAGACGTGTTGCGGCAAACGTAAGGTCCAACGTGTTCACTTTTGATTTCCTGATTATATACAAAGACAATAATGACTTTTATGGGCCAATAACACCGATATATCGGCCTTTGGAATATCGATATCAGCCGATTATTTATTCTAGTTTCAATCGCGTCTGAATGAATAACTTCTTGATAAAGGATGGATATTCAGTAGAAATGATTCAATGTGAAGCTCTTGATAAAACCTCATAATAAAGGTGCCTGGCTCTAAAAATATTGTCTACTCTACTCTTAAATTGTTCGAATTACTGAAATGTTGAATCTAACGCATTAGACTAAATCAAATGTTACATTGTTAAAAAAACCTTTGTTTCTAAAACTTTTGTCCCTAGCCCCCCTTAATCATATCGTGAAATCCGTTCTGAGCTGGCTTGTCTTGTCCATAAAGTACCTCTCTTCTGAATCTTGTGTTCACAGGTCAAAAAGTTACCGAGATAAATTTATGAAAACATCACTTGAAAAGTGAGATGGTTCCTCATAGAAATATTTAACCAAACCTCTTTCTCCGCTATTTGAATGATGAAATTTTCTGGAATATTTTATTAGTATTTTTATTTCAGCCAGAACATACTCCTACTTGTAGTCTGTCCTAATTTGAAATATTCTAGGTTCTGCAGTGGTTCCTTTAGTCACAAGTGTATTAACCTCAACTGCACCACTTAGAGGTGGAATTTCCAAAATATATTTGTGTGTGCCTATTTACCTTATATCAGACAACCAAGTATACTCGTACAAAGCTCATATCTGCATCTCTAACTTAAAGAGTGATAATTTCCCCTTAGTGACTTTCACCCCCTATATTAAACACTTCAAGTGTTTTTTTCGCAACAGAAGGTACATGCACACTTCCTCATTTATAATAAAATGCACGATGCAAATGCCCTATTTATATATCCTTACTCATTTCGGTCAGACCAGCGACTGAGCGCTTCCGCGATACACACCTTATGTCAAATGCCATAAGACTATTTGGGCCATAGCCCGTGAAATAGATATTACAAAATTATGTTTCGGGATAAAAGGTAGCATCTGCAATATTCCAAGATATATTCGATCCCTGTACCAAATGTCAGCCAGATCCGTTCAGCCATTTTGCATGATGGAAAAACAAACTTCCACACTTTCTCATTTATAATATTATAAGTAGGGGCTTAGACAGAATTAAACAAGGCTATGATACACTTTATTGAAGGATTCTATATCTCTATTATATTCAAATATTGATATTTAAAAATATTTTTTTATTATTATTATATTATTTTTTACTTTACTTATATTACCAACAAGTACATTTAATCATTCAAGCTAAGAGCTTATATTCATACAATATAAGAGTATTTCAACTCTACTATTCTAAACTAACGATACAAAGTTTTTATCACAAGCAAATAAATAATTTGCAAAGATTTCGAAGTACAATTTAATACTGCATTAACATATACAATATGAAGAATACAAAATTAAATTAAGTAGATATCAAAGCCAGAAAATAAACTGCATTTTTTACAATGATACAATCAAATTATTAAGTTATCACAAATTTTAAGAATGATACCGCAATAAGAGCTATTAAAACTGAACAGGAACCTGATTTTGAGCTACTTGACGTAAAGTCCCCAGACCTATAAAAAGAAGATGGTACTTACTTTTATATACATTCTAAATGTGTAAGCATTTGCCGACAAGATTTCAAATTCTAGCATATTTTTATTCCACGAAATGTTTATCATGTTAACGGATACAATTTCGGCAGGTTATTATACGAGTACATAACTCAGTTACGTCTAGATGGGCCAAATTTTTTCTACTGATACTATTTTGTTGCTAATGGTATTACACATAATTTATGAAAAAGTCGGCAATTGTCCTATTTGCATCCTAACATAGTAAACTAACTCAGTGGCGTATCCAGATAAAAACTCTGGGGGGCGGATCTAACCTTAGAGTGAGGGGTATACTTAGACTGTACTATACACCTTAGGAAAAACCATTGTTATACATGGGAAATCATTTCTTGGCAACAGCGCATCGGCTCGTCTACTTTCATCGCTATTCGTACATATTTCCTACCGTTAACCGCAGACCTGTATCACGAATGAGAATAATAGGCAAATACGCTGTGTTGCCAATTTGAGTAGAGCTTCCCGAATTGTGGGGAATTTAGAGTTAAGTGTTGATTCATTCAAGCTTTTAATCAGCATGGCCTAGACGTTAGAACTTCATAAAGATAACATTGAAGCTGAATGCTGCTGGAGTATAGTGTTTCGAATATTCAAAGCGGAGCCGGACACTATGCTCGTTCAATGCGTCATCAAGCCACAGTCTTTTCAACAAAGAAATTATTTTACGAAAATGCGTTATATTTTTACGATTTTGTCGTCACCAAATCTCTGTTTCTCAAAATGTACATCTATTGTAGAATTTTCAGCAAACTAAGCAAGAAACGTGATCTAGTATTTACTCAACATTACGGATTTCTCGAAATACATTAAAAAATGTGACCTAGATACCTAACTGCCCCAAGCTCTTTAAATATAACACCTTAAACCAGGGTTACCAGGTGCTCAGTCACGTTGATTGTCATGTTGTACTGCGCAAGTCAGCAAGCAATCTGGCGTAATAAACGTTAGGAATCATCAGGTATTGCCAGATTCCCGAATACCGGGCACCATAGTAACCGTTATAGTTGTCCTTCAAAGTTGTCAAATCGCCCCTATGGCGCAAATTCGCCACACCAGGCAACTGTGCTATAAACAAACCCTGTTTATCACTACTATTTGATAGTCATATGGTAGTTGTAGCCCTATCTAGCGGTCCATGATTTCTCTCAATACTGTTGTATCTCTACTGGCAACAAGAATAGGGATTACAAAATCATTTATACAACGATATACAAACATGAAAAATATGATTTGAACCATGAAACATTAATACAATTTTAATGGTTTGAACTTTTTTCATTTTTGGAATACTTTTATGTGGAATCCGCAAATCCCGAAATTTGGGTAGACTTAGATTTCTTAGAAATATGACATATTGGTATCGGCAACTCTGCGAATGGGAGAAACAAATCGCATTTGTTGAGCGCATCCGTCTAAGCGGTAGGCGCCAGCGCCCGTTCTGCCATCTCTCTCTTTTATCACTCTTCTACTTTACCCCGTTGTCCGTCACACTCCGACGCTGCCACATAGGATCCTACAATCGAGTGTCTTTCACGCACCTACATACTTTTGTATATTTCCATCTCTCTTCCTCATCATAATGTATAATAATGTTTTTTCCCAAGGTGTATAAGGAAAAACTGATTAGGCAGTGGGTTGCTAAACAAGATTTTGGACATTTATTTTTTTATATCCATTCATAACCCTATGAATCCAGGTTAAGTGGCTTATTTAAAAAATTAGATAGCATACCACAGAAGAACTTGATTCATCGCCTGGATCATCTTATTCTTTCTATTATTTTCACATTAGGAAACAAAATAAATGGGTAAAAAGGAATGAAATGAAAAACGACACAGCATGATCTCGAACAAAAATAGCAGTACAAGAACCATATATTTCGTAGTAAGGAAATTTTTACAGGTTCCACAGTTGAATCTTACAAAAGCAGCACAGAAAACATTAAAGAAAAGGCGATGAAGCACAACAAAAGAATACAGGTAAAGTACTATGCTTGGAGCAGGCATTTTTTGTATGCTTACGATTACGTATTCGAATCGATTCAAAAGAAAACAAGTGGGATGAGTGTACATTGAACGAAAATCTTGTTTATATGACTAGAAAATGTCGATTTCTACCATTGGCCTCAAAAGATAACTTGGGAATTCAGCGCCATTTTTGTCGTTTGAGGACTGGTTTCTCCTTTAGTGTTAAGCTAACAATGACGCTTCCCTGAGAAGTATTCTAGAATATACATTTACAATTTTCAAAATATTCAACATTTTCTAACTTTTCTAAATTTTGAAATTAACAAAATTTTCGAGATTTTAAAAGTATTGAAATTTCACAAAGTTTCATATTTTTCAAATCATTTTTAAAGATTTTCAAAGTCTTCAAGATTTTCTACATTTTTGAATTTTCCAAACTAATTTAATGACCTTATGTTGAAATTTAACTTGATCAAAACCTGCTCTGGACACAGTTCTTCCATTTGATCAAAATATTTACAGGATGCCGATGACACCGCACGCCAATCTTCCTCCAGCGTTGCCAGTTTTCAGGGATTCGTCATTTCCACCTTTTCCAAGATCATCCTCTTTTTCGTGGACGACCACGGCCCGTCCAAGGATACAATGGCTTCCCTCAAGGTCGATGACGTTGTCGATGAAGTTGATCTTGGCAACACCGCTTGCGTCGGCTACAATGTTGCCGAGATCACCGACGTGACGGTTTTGATCCGTGGGGCCACCGTGGGTTTTCTGGAAGAAGATGAAAAATAGGAATAATGTTAAAATGAGTATTCTATCAATATACGAATTCCAAATAGGAGCAAAAAAACTAGTATAAACTGCATCATCTTAAAGGTTGGTGAGAAGTAGGTTAACTCTGCTTTTCCCACGCAACGCTGTCATTAGTTCATAAAGGATTATGTTTGGTACAAGTTAGCTCCCTGAGGAAAAGTGAGCTACAAACATGAATAACACGAAAAATTAAATGGATCAAGTCAACAGATCCAGACAATTAGTATATAGTTCCCACCGACTTGTTAACGCTGCGATCTAGAATTTTCTCCTCTACCCTACCGACAATACCACCACCTGGTAATGTTGCCGAACCACGAAAGTCAGCCTTGATCCAGCGCCAGACGTGAAACCACCATACTGCGTTTTGTACACATAAACATAGGCCAGTTGCGTTGCTGTTAGACCTATACGCGGCGGGTCTGCCTGAAAATATTGTAGCGTAAGAGATAAAATGGTTGTATACAATCTATTTCAGATATTAATAAGAATCCCTTTGTTTCCGTACACTTTAGAGTTCTAATCATCTAAAAAAGCAGCGTTGCTTTTCTACAAATAAAACTTAATTTATAAGCTTCAATATGCTTTTTCGAATCACAAAAAAACCATCATGAGCACTGATCATTCACCACATATGACCTTGTACATTAGCGGTAAATGTTTTTATTTAGAAACTTAATTTTTAGTTAACTGGGTATTCAGCTGAGCAACTGGCGGAAAATTTCTCAGAGAAATGAAAAATAACGATGTCGGATGTCGGTGACTATATCAAGAAAGTATCTCACGCTAATCACGTAAATATATAATGTTAACATGAAACAATTAAACGTAATTTTACCTAGTCACGATTTAGGATTCATGGAACTAATATTTAAATAATAGAATGAGATTATACTGGTATTAATTGCTATATTGGTTTTGATTTATGTTGTATCTTACTGAACCCTATCCTTGTGGTTGGTCAAGGAACAAAGCATGAGAGAAAAGAGGTTTTTAGAAGATTCCTTTATTGAAGCAGTATATAGAAATACAATGCAAACATAACCCTTTTTTTATAAGGGAGAAAATTTGAAATGTGAAAGAGCAGGAGTACGATATATATATATATATACAGGGTGGCGCATCGAAAACGAAACAGACGCATTTACTGGTAGCTCAGTTTTTTTTTGAAAAAACTCTCAGACCCGTCGATTTTGTTTTCGGGGGGGACACAAGTTTGGCAAAAAATCAAGTTAACACGTGCAGCCCCCCGGGGGGGGGGGGGAGACACCAACCCTAAAATCTTAAATAGAAAGGGCGGTCGAGTGATACCTTATTTTAAATGTCTTTCAATTCCCTTTATAATGATGTAAAATACATGAGCTTCAGTTCAGTAGTTTTGAATATTTATTGATTTAAAGCTTAAAGTAGACTTTAATAGGTACATCAGATTAGTTTGTACTACTTTCAGAAGACATTTTACTAAAAGAATTTACTTAATAAGTAAACGCTTTTCTTCACTACGCCCATGGTTTGTTTATCATTTTGTTGTTGAAAATAGCTATTGGAGCGTTTTTTTCGTACTTATTTTAAATAGGAATTTAGTACATAGTTTGCGATTGATTTGACCAAACTTTGTTGCTAAAATAACTTGTAACGCTTTATTACATAAATTAACCATGGTATATTCCACAGCAGTAAGAGTTGAAATTATCGAAATATTTTTCGGAAATAATCAGTGCGCTAATAGAACAGCAGAAGTATTTAATGAACGACATGAAAACAATAACGTGCATCGAAAATATGTTCTAGAACTTGTTGCTAAATTTCTGGAAACTGGGTCAGTCGCCAATAAAAAACGCAACATTGAAAATCCCATAAGGCAATAGAAGTGGGGGTTTAGGGCAAGTTTATGTAGATCCTACGTTAAGTACCCGCAAATTGGAGACTGTGTGTGGTGCTTGTCGACGTACTGTCCAACGGATTCTAAAGGCCCATAGTTTTCATCCGTATAAAATTCACCTGGTACAAGAACTTAATGAAGACGATTTTGATGGGCGATTACAATTTTGTGAAGATATGAAAACGATGAACATTTTCTATTCAATACTTGCTTTTCCGACGAATGTTCCTTTTTCTTAAATGGCGTAGTAAGTCGTCATAACTGCCGATATTGATCCGATTCTAATCCCAGAATTTATCATGAGGTTCATACACAGCAGCCACAAAAATTAAATGTTTGGGTTGGTATTTTTGGCGATCATTTAGCTGGTCCTTTTTTCTTACCTGGAAATCTGACCGGTGAAATGTATACTAAGTGACATATACATCCGAACACCCAGTTTAAATGGTTTTATTTTAATAAAATTGTATAAGTACTTAATGAAGCATAATAAGTAAATGATAAAAATTTCAAAATGATTGCACTGCTTTAAAGCCCTTTGACCTTTAATAATGTGTGGATGCACCCTGATGTGCTACGCATTCTCCAACGCGCTTAGGCATGCTTCTGATCAGGTGGTCAATGTCCTCCCGTGGTATCTCATTCCAGGCAACCACCAACTCCTCTCGAAGTGCTTCTAGAGTCTGAGGAGGACGTTGCAAATTGAGCAATCTCCTACCCATCATATCTCACACGTGCTCAATTGGGGATAAGTCGGGAGATCTTGGTGGCCATGGTAACAATGTGACATCATTATGTTGAAAGAAGTCTATTGTGACTCTTGCAACATGTGGTCGGGCATTATCTTGTTGGAAAGTTGGATCTGTCAGGGTGTCAAGATAGGGTAAAAGATGGGGTTCTAGAACTTCGTGGATATAACGCTGCGCGTTCATGTTACCTCTGATGAAGATTAAAGGTGACCTGGAACCATAAGCTATAGCACCCCAAACCATAACTCCAACAGTGTTATGAACATGTCTTTCAACAAAAAACTGTGGATTCCTCCTTTCACCACGTCGCCTTCTAACCCTGGCACGACCATCGTGCATGCCTAAAAAAAATTGAGACTTGTCACTAAAGACAATACTGTTCCATTCCTGATCCCAGAGTGACCGTTGTCTGCACCACTCAAGGCGATTACGTCGGTGTTTTCGAGTTAAAGGGAGGACCCAGTGTGGCCGGTATGAAAACAAGCCAAAACTTCTCATTCGTCGGTAAACACTTCGCATACCAATCGGTCTTCCGTGTTCTGCAAACCATTCATTTGCAATGGACCTGGTAGTGGAGAAACGGTCCCTTAAGGCCAATAATCTTAGGCGGCGATCTTCATGGTCTGTTGTTCTACGGCGGCGTCCAGTGCCCCTTGCTTTTTGCGTACGGCCTTCTCGAAGCCATGCCTGACAACACCTAACCACAGTGTCTACACTTCTTTGCACTCTAACTGCAATTGCCCGAAAAGAAAGTCCAGCTTCCCGAAGTCCCACTATACGGCCCCTATCAAACTCACTAAGTTGACGAAATCGTACAGGTCTCCCTACTCTAGGCATCGTAACCGATCATAAAGGATGTCAAGAACCAAAATCCGCCAACGTTGATTCTTTACTGCGACTGAAATATTCATTTTTAGAGCGTTAGTGAATTAAAAAAAAGCAGTATAAAAACCGGAATGTCCAACTGATAAAGCTGAAAATTTTTTCACTTGTTATTTACAGTAAGATAAATACATTCACCAACTTTTATTAAAATAAAACCATTTAAACTGGGTGTTCGGATTTATATGTCACTTAGTATATATAGAAGACCTGCGACAAAGAATTGTGAATGAGTAGCCTTCAAATTACTTCTCAAATATTGCAAAATGTGCGGCAACGTTTTGAGCAAAATCTTTATTATTGCATGGAGAGTCATGGTGGCCATTTTCAACGCTTACTTGCCTAACGGGTCAGTTCACTCTTCATTTTTAAATTATTTTGCTTCCAAATGTATTGATCTCCACTAATGATGATGTATTAGTTTTATTTCAGCTTTAAATCAATAAATCTTCAAAACTACTGAACTGAAGTACATTAATTTTATATCATTATAAAGAGAATTGAAATACCTTTAAAATAAGGTATCACTCGACCCCCCTTTCAATTTAAGATTTTGGGGGTGGTGTCACCCCCGCTTACGGGGCTGCACGTGCTAACGTGATTTTTTGCCAAACTTGTGTCCCCCTCGAAAACAAAATCGACGGATCTGAGCGTTTTTTTAAAAACTGTGCTGCCAGTAAATGCGTCTGTTTCGTTTTCGATGCGTCACCCTGTATATATATATATTGTAAAAAGTTATTTGGGAAAAACGACAATTCTCAAAACCCCCTCACTGATTATTCAAATTTTTGTTGAGTTCATGGATCCACGCTCCTGTTTACCACAGTACAGTTCAGGCAATTAGATTGATTTTGGCGTGTATGGTCAGCTTTGAAATAACACAATTTTTGGAAAATCTTAGGACAAACGTGCAAATTCTGATTATTCAGATCTTTCACTAGTAATTTCATGGATTATTGAATTAACGTCACGAAATTTATCAACTATTTACTTATCCACGTCAGCTACGGAATATCAATCATTCCCATATGTTTAATCACTAATTGCAATGACAACAAACCATTTTACTTGTGAGGAATGTACCTTGAGCAGTACTGGTTTGTTTAAATGTGACTATCTTCGAAAATATTTACCTAGGAAATAGTTAGGAATGTAGACAAAAGCGCCTTGAAGATAATATAGCATAACAAGACATACATGCAAATGGCTAGCAAGGTCGGTAGGTCGGTAAGCAGCATTCATTGTGCATTTTAAATTGGGATCATCACAAGCGTGCAAGTGCTGCACTTCCTTTTTCGTAAAAAATAACATCCTTCCGTGCTCTGTCTTCATGTGAGAAGACTCATTTTAAAAAAATATGCAGTTCAAAATATCACGAATGGCAATATTGACTCTTAAATATTGCAACGCAACCAGTTATTTTCAAAAATGTTTGGCATTTTTAGTCTGGAGGCTAACGATCTACCAGTTAATCGGTGAAATAATTCCTAAATAAATGAAAGCCGACGATCATTTATGTTTCCATGATTAATGCACACATCAAATAATTTTCATTAAACATAGCGGCGTTTCATAGATTTGGAAATTCTGAACTAAAAATGTGTTGGTCGAAACCAAAGGCGTTTTTACTTCCCACACACTACTGTATATTTTACGTACGTTTAGTGGATTAAAATGAGGTCCTGCACCCGTACATCCAGGTCCAATATTTCCTAGATTATGAATGTGGAAGCCATGTTTCCCGGGGGTGAGTCCATGGATTTCTCCTTCGATATGAACGCCCTTTTCTTCTTTGATGAATTTGACATTTCCGCTAACACCGGATTTGCCAGATGGGTCAAAAAGATAGACCACCGCAGCTTGTTGCTGAAAGTAACACATTTCTTTTAATTTTTCTGTATTTTTTGTCATAATCAGCATAATTTTTTCGTGAATAGAGAGCATTAAAATGAACTTGGTAACTCTTATTTTATTCTGTTGTTTAAGATGTACTTTTTTAAATCTCTAGGCAAAGCGACACATCCGCCAAGAGAGACTTCCTAGCTGATTTGTTTCCCAATATGTTTAAAACGAAGTGAATCAAATTAAATTTTTGTATCTTGATATTTTTCATTAAAAGCAGAATGGGACAATACAGCTAGAGAAACGATGAATATTTTACCAAGGATGTTTTCATGTCATTTGATCCCCGCATTAGGAGATATCATATGGTCTCCAAGACCACCAGATTTAATGGTTACAGATGTTTTTCATAATGTCAGCATACCAAGCGCAATAGATAGGATGAGGAGTAATGCTCTGGAATCTATCCAAAATATTCCTTTCGAAACCTACCAAAAATAATTTAAAACTTAATCAATGTGATATCAACACCTTTTTAATAAAGGAATAAGGTAATAAATTGGTCTTCATTTCAAAGATATGGGAAAAGGAATCCAGTCAGTAATATATTGGCCATCCTGTATTTTCTGTGTTTTTTTTTCTCAGATTATCCGTTTCACTTGGCCATTAAAGCAAATTGAAGATGGCTTTACTGACGTTTCGTTTATCAAGGTAGCCTTTTTCAAAGTACTAAACTAAAAAATATATAATTTCTAATTGAAAGGTCTATGCGACATAGGTCAGATAGAGATGTGTATCATATTGCTTTCCTATACAGGGTAATTTATGGAATAGCAGCAATATTTACAGGGCATCAAGCGGATTAGATACAGAAAGAGTACCCCTTTACTGAGTTACAAGGTGTTGAAGTTCAAAATCGATAAAAAATTGCACCTTCAAAATAGAGCAAAATATTGGCTTGCAACTTTGTACGTGTAGTGCTAAGAGCATAGCAAAATCATATAAAATTGTTCATGCTTGAGAAGAGAAGAAAAAAGAAAAATATTTTTTAGTCACCTGTGCATGTTATGTGTAAGAGTCTCAACAGTCTTATCTGTCATTGTGACATATATTTATGTGTTATCTTAGTGTACTATTTAGGATGGTCTATCAGTACTCAAATTTATTGTCTTTCTATTTAAAAATGCTCTGAAGTAAATACATGTTTGACATTAAAAATTATATGCAAGATATTACTAAAGTAACTGTATCTCACCATAGCGTTAATTGGCAATATTTATGTTTCAGTCTCATCAATGGGGTAAAAACTTACAACATACTGAATCTTGGAAATATGATATTTTAGGGCATCTGTTTATTGAAACCTTTTTCGTTATTTTTGGATGTACTTTCTGCTCTTGGAATATTGTCATTGTCTTTTGTATCACTATATACAAACGAAATTGTTTAAATCAAAACTTTTAATACCTGTATGAGACAAAAAACAAACAAATACAAAGGTTAGGGTCCATAACCTGTGCTGAACTATTGACTAGGTATTTCAGGAAAGCCAGCTCTTCGGAGATGAAAAAGTAGAAATTAATATCCAAAAGCTATCATGGCAACCTTTGTAGAGACTATTATTGTTAAGGGATTAATTATTAGAATAAATATTCGACCAGTTATCTTATTTCAAACATATGAATTGATAATATATGAGCATTTAGTCTGAATCAATTTAATTTGTTATGTTATTAAAAATTAAAGGATCTAATCACTCACCTCAGCATAAGCAATAGCTAGTAAAGCTACGCCAACCACAATATTCAGCATGATTCGACTGAAAAATAACAAAAAGTGATTACCTTATCCAACTAGAAGCTTACAACGAAAAGATAAGAACGCGATTTGTAAAAGTAAATTATCAACAAATGCAGTATGATAAAATAATGTCAAGGTGAGCAAATGAAAGTGAGTGAGATACCTTATAAGATGCGTTGTTACCGCGACAAAATCCCGCGTATCAACAGACGCAAGTTAAGAAACTTCTCGTTCTTATAACATCGCCAAGGTTCGCAACGAGCCTACACAGTCTTAGGCCAAGAAAAGTATCGTCTGAAATGTCTCTCCAGATTTTGGATTAAATAATAAGATTTATTTTCGCTTTCTCCGGTGGGCTAGTAGGCCAAGAAATAGGCAGATTTTGTATACACACTAAATTGGTATCCTTGATCAAAGATAATGACCTATGGAGTTATACCCACGTGAAAAGATGTAGGGTGACACGTGGACAATGTACCTAGAGTGCGGAGTATGCCAGTTTTGATACAAATTTTTGACTTTCGCTGCTTATACTTGAAGAACCACCAAGGTGTAGAAAATATGTAAAAACTTTATTCTCTACAAAAAAAAAAACGATAGTAGTCTTTATACGCTTAGGTTGTCGCTAAAATTATAAGGAAAAATTATCTATTTCCTTTTCTACTAGTAATTCTATAAATGTACATTGAATTGTCTATGATTGATAGGCGGAGTAGTATTCATATTAGGAAGAGGACAAATGTGACCACTCGTTCACTAAGGAAGGTTCTCTTGTCAAAACTTCTGGACCCAACATAATGCTCTGACAGCCTCTAGAGATACAGCATACATCCAGCTAAATTTTGGTCATGTTCGCTACTAGGTATATTGCAGCTTATTGATAAATGCTGCAAGAAACCCCTTAAGAGGAAGTCTAATATGGCCAAATCACATAATCTTGTTTTCTAATTCAAACCACATCTGCAGGGTAGTTATGCAGAATGTCTATTGTGACACTCGTGTTGCACGTAGAATATCCAATAAGAAGTTGGCTTTTGAAGCTTCTCAAATAGGTTTAAGGGTGCTTCAATTTTCATCAAAATAATGAGTGTTGACAAGTGCACAAATCGGGAGTATCTTGATTAGCGGCAGGGAGTATGGTTTTCGGCTGACCTCCTAGCTTACGTCACGAAACAGTGAAGTGAACTCATCCAGTCATATGGTGAAGCTCATGTGTCTGCTCTTTTACCGCTATGCCAACGGGCTTTGCTCCTCAGAACTCTACTTCATAATGCCACCGCGCGATGTGCCTGCCAGTTCAACCTCTCCTTTGCCCCAAGTGGTCGAGATTGTGGAACAAGATGACCGAGTAGGTTTTTCCCGGTTTTACTAACTGGACTAAAAATGTAGCTTTAAGTTCCTTATAGCTCCTGCGGTGCCCCGATATTTAGGCTAGACTAATGAACGAACACCATATTTCAATAAACAGTCTAAGAAACTTATGCTTGTATCTAGGCTAAGATCTACCAATTAATCGGTGAAATAATTCCTAAATAAATAACCTAAGAATACGAGTACATACATTACGATGCCACACCTTTAACACCTCACTAATGCTTTCTATCTTTGAATATTTACAGACGTAACTGATCAGCTCAATCGCATTGAAAAAACAGAATGCTATTTTTACACAGTTTACTTTTTAATACCATTTTACGATGGCGTCACGGTATGATTGTAATTATTTCAAACGACATTGATGTGTATTACATAAATACAGCAATGAAAAGTCATAAGGATCTCTTATTGTATAGATTTTTCATGGATTACTTAGATTTATACCGGGTGCTTAAATGGCGGCAATGCAGTTTAGGTAGTTAAGAAAATGCCACTTGGAAAGTTTCGAAATTCAAAGTACTTCCGGAGAGAGACGGAAAAATCAGAATTTTTCCAGAATAGTTTTAATTGTTTCTTGACTTTATTTGTAGCGGTATTTCAAAATAAATTGCACATTAACATCGCCACTTCTACTTTATTTTTTATTATTGACTCCATATTTAATTTTTGCACAGATAAATAGAGTTTTTAGTGCTGGTTCCAAAAATATATAATACGTCAGACATTGACATTTCCAAACCTTAGTTATTTTAAAAAAGCAGAATTTCCTAGGTAAGCCTTGAAATTATCAGATAATCATTTGTTTTACATACCAGATTTACCCCAGAATAATTTTTATTTTGTCCTGAATAAGTTCCATGTTGTGATTGTTACTTATTCTCCTCTAAAAGATGGCGTAGTCAAAATTTCAATACTAGGTTTTTTCTTTCACCTTCCATCATCAACTTTGTTTTTGTTTTCATGTGGACGTTATATTGAAATAGTAATTAGTAATACTAATAATAATAAAAAACGACTTTATTTGTAATGAGACATTCTAAATGGGCTAAGTTTAGCCTCGGCTATTCTTCCACTTAACCCTTGTGTTACATTGGATACTAGAAATTTATATAAATATTCACCAAAAATGTTAAAATAAATCAATGTCAAAGTTCAATATTACGAGAAATCATATAGAGGAGATGCAACTTCCGATGTAGTATATACTTCTTCAGAGTCATATTTTTCAGATCGTTTGGTAGAGATTTGTACCCGTATATGGAGGTTGTAATAAATGTGAAATATTTTGTGAATATAAAAGTCTGTTGAAGCATAGTGAATATTTCTGGAAAACGAATAATTCTGTTGGTGTGGATTATATTATGACGAGGAATCAATCTTGTTTACAAGTAACAAGGTTTCTTGTTGAGCATTGTTTTATCTGGAATTGTAAGCAATCAATATTTGAATAAATCTTTAACTCCGCCAGTTCATAGCAATGATATGGCCTCAGGTGTGATCATATCTTGTTAGATTATCAGACGGCAATTGTAATTTTGGATTTTCTGCAAACGTTTTGCTGTATATTGGTCTAGGCAGGGATAATATAATAGCATACAATAAAGTATTTTTGAAATATCTAGTCTTTCACATATTTTTTTTAAACTTGGTGAACATGTTTTTGTTAGCATATAGGAGCCTTAATGCTAATTGCAGCTTTGACCTATAACAGCGGCGTGATCTCGGAACATAACTTTTTACCAAAGAGACCACCCCGAGGTCTTTTACACGGTGAGAGAATTTCAACTGTGATTGGTTGATACACATTTGCCTGTTTTCCTTCAAAAAAATGGATTGGTTTTTGTTTTGATCCTTGTTTATAGGTGGGGTAGTGTTTTCATGCTTATTTGGATGAAATGCTAGATACATTTGGGTATAGTCGGCGTAGGTTATTATTTTACAGTTTTGAACCACTGTGGTCAAATTTGAGGTGTATATTGTGAGGAGTAGTGTCCCGAAAACAGAACCTTGTGGTACGCCAGATTTGATTATCTCAAGTGGAGAAGTTTTGTCGCCTAATGAAGTTTTTTGACGTCTACCAATTAAATAGTGCCGAAAAAATTCATAGTCTTTTCAGAAGATCCTAAATAGTTCATGGTTGGTGTTCGTGGTTAATTGTATCGAAAGCTTTAGAAAAATCAAGAAGCAATAAAAGTGTAGCATAACCTTTATCAAAGGCAGTGATGATGTCATCATTTACCGGAAGAAGGGCTGTCGTTGTGCTATAGCTCTCTCTAAATCCCGATTGTTGATCTGGAAGTAGATATTTGATAGTTAATAGGTATTAAATTGAGAAAACATCATATTTTCAAGTAATTTGGATAAAACAGGGAGTAAACTGGTTGGCCGTAGATCATTGTAAGACTTGGGGGAAACATAACCGATCTTTCCATCCGTTCGGAAAATATCCAACGTCTAGACCTAGACATTTGTTTATTGTACCTGTTACATGTTTTCGAATGAAAGGAAATCTGAAATTTTATCATTTCAGTAGAAATCCATCAGACCTACTAGCGTTGGACTTTATAGAAGGCAAAGTTTTCCATACTTCATTTTCGGCGGTTGGTGTGAATGAAAAATTTAAATCGTTTCTAAGTTTATTTTTGTTAAAATATTCTATTGATTCACGGCATGCCAAAATATCGTCTTTAAACACTGAAATAAAATAATCATTGATTTTTTTAGCATCCTTCAAATTATCAGGTATCTGATATTTTCATGTCATTCTGCGGATATTCATCTTGCCCAACGTCTTATAACATTGTTTTGAATTTTGACATCTACAAGCAGACTGTAGATATACAGATTTATCATCACGAAGTAAGCCAAGTATTTCGTTCCTAAGTTGTCTATAATTTCCCCGATTCTCATTTGTTTTGTATAATTTATATTTAGTTTATGCCTTATCTATTTAAAATCAGCATTCAGACGTACAGTTAACCATGGCGCTGGAGGCTTAAAAATCTATGGTATTCTCATTTTAGAATTCAGTTTTACTTTAAATGTGTCTGATAAAATCTATTATATCCCAATTTATATTCATCAAGTTTTGGATGAAAGCGCTGTGATTAAAGGATTTGTAATATCTGAATTGACATATTCTTTTTCAATGTTTTGTGCTTCAATCATAATCTCAGTAAAAACCAGTCTATGGTCGGTGAAGAGATCCAGGTTCATGGTCCCAACATTACTACATAATTCAGGAACTTTGATAAAAAATTTGTGTAATAGGGTTTCTGAGTGGTGTGTCATTCTACTAGGTTCTGTAATTAATTGTTTCAAATTATAAGATTCAAGACATTGTAGCACTTGATTGTCTAATTTAAATTAAAATTAAGATCGCCCACTACAATTATGCGGTCACACTGTCTCACAATATGGCATATGTTGCCAGGAGGAGGGCGATATAGAACCCCAAATGCTATTGAAAGATTTTTTACTCTGGTTTATATCCATAGTTGTTCTAATAATGCTCTATTATCCAGGATATGCTCACTGAGAGATGAAGTTCATTCGATGAGGTACCGGTCTAAGGGTCTTTGCGTTTTGGAGAAGATTAGGGAGTCTATGTCTGTGTAGCATTAGTGTCGAATGCATACATTATCGTTTAACTTGTTTTACTGGAACCGCATTCTCTTTTTTTATATACAATTACGTTAGAGTGAGTAGCAGGTGCCTGGCGGTGGATGAAAACTCAAAGGGACAAAGTTTTCCAGCATATACTAAGCCGACAAGCACTGCATCAATAATCTCCAACAAACGACGGAAATGCAAGGAAGGATAAACTTGTAAGGCAAGGGATCATCCACACTCTGTATAAGCCTAGAACCCGCCTCGGAAATGCCAAAGAGGACGATAAGGAACCTAGTCAAAGAATGGGTAAAACAGCACCACAAGGAGCTTAGTGACTGGATCCAGAAGTGGAAAAGAACTTAGTTCGTGCCCATGTTCGCAACGACTGCGGGACAGATTTCAATGAGCCGCACGTAGTCACAGTCCTTCTAATAGGACACAACACCATGAAAGGACACCTGCATGATGGCTCTATGATAAGGACATCAACTGCAAACAATGCGGTAGGGAAACAATATCAGCTTCATATGTGCTCTGCGGGTGCTAAGCGCAGGGTCATAGAAAACATCAGCTCTTTGAGAAACCGGAACTAAGACTAATAGAGATTAGACAAGTACCGGCAGAAGCATTACTCAGGATATGCTCACTGGAGTCTACTTTTTCACAAGATAATATGTTATTTTTCATATATTATATTCCCACACCTCCCCCACGACTTCCCCTATTCTTTACGGAAGAAATAATAATTCTTGTAACCCCAGTATCAGCTGGTATATTTTCATCAAGCCAGAATTCACTAATAACTAAAATATCAAAACATTCAACAAACGCTGAAGACGCAATTTCTGTGAGAGCTGGCAATAATGACCTTATGTTGATATGTCCAAATTTTAAAGAAATATTCTCTTTACCCATAAACGAATTGTATTTTGGATGAATAAGAGAATAGAAGTAAATTAAATTGTACTAAAACATTGAATATATTGTAAATTATGTGCTTAAAACTGGATTTTGTAAGAATGCTGTTATTGAAAGTACATAAGTACATAAATACCGGACATCCTTTATATATTCGGTAATGTATTTCCTTAGTTGGACATGAATTTGTTTTTTACAAAAATCGTAAGGAAATAAAAGGGCATGGTAAAACCTGAACACAAAATGAAAATTTTATTGATGGTAATAACAACAACAATCATAAACAAACAGAGGTAATCATAGCAGATTCTTAAAATGTTGCCTGTTATTTATCAGGCAAAGCCTGACCCTT